AAATTTAATAATTTAAGTAGTCTTAATAAATTCAATAGTGAGTATAACAATAGCTATAATTCAAAATCATAAAAAGACAATACCTGCTGATCTGTAAAGACAATGTCTTTCTGTTTCCTTTCAATGAGGAGTGGAAGCCTTTTTCCTAATGTTGTGTGTGGTGATTTCTCTTTACCTTTCTATTGGCTTTGTCTTGCACGAGATGGAGGATACTGTGTACTTATGGATACTGAATGGACATGACTTTTTTGATGTGTACATTGTGGTAGGGTCCATTAAGCGAGTGATTCTCCTATTCTTATCCCTATGTGCTTGTTTTCATATATTTCATATTGGTTATCAGTGGACAGTATTTAATTATAGATTCTTATTTATTATAAATTAAGCCAATACCACGGTCTCATAGTATACAACCGAAGTCAACTGTCGCTGACCTCAATAAATTTCTGCTTGGGTACGACGTGGAAATTGTTATGGTTCATGACATCACGGTCTTTCTTGGATTGAGCAAGTGGGATATTAACAACACTTAAGGGTGCCTTTGGTGCAACTTTTTAAGTATTTTAATATTTTATTATTATTTATATTTTATAAGTTAAATTTTTTTATAAAAAAATTATATTTTTAAATATTTTTTAATATAAAAAAACCTTAAACAATAAAAGACTAAGAGTTTCAAATTTAAATTTTTTTATACATTTTTAACTCATTTTTTACTATTTTTAAAAATAATTTTTAAATTTTTTCTCTAATAAAAATTTAAACTTATCACTCATAAACAGTACAAAAAAAAAAAAACAAAAACTCCAACAAATTTCACCAAATAAGCCCATAGAATAGTTTATCATGTAAAGACATTATCTTGGATACAAAAAATTAATTTATTAAGTTTATGAATTTGTATATAAATTAATTTTTAATTTCTACTTTTCATATGAGATTTTCTCTATTTACTCGTGAATGCCTAACAATCTCACTTGTTCACTAGAGGATTTTCAACATCTCATGCTAATGCACCTATGAGGAAGTCCTTAATCTTATCTTATATTAGTTATATATAAAATCGTTGTAATAATAAAATTTTTTAAAAAAGATTTACAAATAAATATTTAATAAAATTTTAAAATTTTTTAATAAATATCCGGTGGCCTTTTCAAAAACAAAAATATTAAAATTTTAATATTACGTGGTATTATCAAGTTACAATATAATATATTATTATATAATTAATTTTTTTAATTAGAGATTCACTCGTAATATTATATACATTTATTCATTTAATATATTATAGTTATTTTTATTGATTGAATATCAAGCCAAATATTTTTGATAGGGTTAATTGTTTTAATATTTATTTTTTATAATTTAAAATTTAAATAGAGTTATATATTTTGATAATTATTTTATACTTGTAGATGCAATGGTATTTTAAACTTTGTATTTGGATATTCATATTAAGTAGAACTCCAAACTCACAAAACATTTTTGTTTATATTGTGTAATTATTTTTGTAGTAATTTTTATGATGCCTTATTTTTTTTTCGCTAGGCACTATTTTTTCACGGGGATGTTGACAAGGATCAAAGTACTTATTGGGCGATAAAAATTTGTTAAAATAGCTTATATGGCCTAAGAACACTTAATAAAAAAGGGGGGGGGGTTCATGTGAATCATTTTGGCTAAATATTTTTCACCCAAAGGGTTTTTTGATCTACATTAACATTTATGTAAAAAAGTAGGTCCAAGTGAACCAAAAAACAAGAAGCGTGAGGTCACGTGTTGGTCTATTAATTATAACGGTTGATTTTCATTTTTTGAGGGATTTGAAGGTTATTTGGCATCATTTGAGGGGTTTGATGGGTTATTTATATCCTTTTTAGTTTAAGAACTCAGATGTTAATTAGGGATAAGTTGAAGGTTTAAGAGAGGGTTTTGCCAATTGTCTTTTGTGTTACCAAAATGATGAAAACAACTGAAAAACTATGGCCATAGAACAGACATGATACAAATTACAAGTCCTTATACTAAAATATGTTATTTAAATGTACTTATCATGAAAAAATTCCTCTTCGGCCCCAAAAGTTGTCCATGCATGATGTCCTTTAGCATTTACCAGCACAAGCGGAGCCTCCTATCACCCGTGATAAGTAAATTTTAACCTTATCCCAATACAAAAATTAAAATTAAAAATTAAAAAGCGCAAGTAATATGAATGCACGTGGCCGCAGCCTTCCTTTATATAACGCTTTTGTGTTTCAACCGGCTCCTCGGTGTGTCTTCTTTTTTCATGGGAAAGGACAGCCATTAAGATCCCAGACGCATAAACTTAGCAAATCAAATCTTAATTTCCGTTTCAATTTCTGGAGGAATCCATTTCATTTCGATTCTCTGTAAGAATCCTTCGATCGTGGGGATTGATTGATTGGTTGTGGAAGGAAAGAAGGAAGAGAAGTTTTTGCTGTATGTCAGTAGACTGTATAGAGGCTTACTGCCGTGGATTTGGAGAGCTCGCGAACCCCTTACAATGGCCTCAGCTTCGCAAAAGGCGACGCGTACTTCTTCCTGCTGCGCCGACTCTACTCCTGTCATCGCAGCAGTTGCTGCCTCTGCCAATGTGGCGCTTGAAAGGACCGTCGCGGATCGCCGCGACGATCAGCGTCCTGCCAAACCCACCATGCCGTTCCTGACTCATCCTGTTGATCCGATTCCTGAACCTTCCACTAATGCTTCCGCCAAAGGCACTCTCTCCTCTCTCTCACTTGTTTTGTTTGTAAATTTCATGAAAATGTGATTTTTCCGTATGGCAGTGATGTTAGATCGCGTGCTCTTTTGGCTTTTTTGTTTTCCCTTCCTCATGTTTACGAATAATCTTTATTAGAATCAAGGATAAATATTGATAAGAGTATGATGATTATTTATATTGTTTTGTGTCAAAATATTTCTTTCTTTTTTTTTTTTTTTTTT